CTGAGCCCTACGCCACTCCAAACAAAAAGCAACCCTGATCCTACAGCAAGCTAGTTTGAACCCATTCAACTTGACTCCACCATGACCCGAGCTTATCATCCTCCAAATGGTCACACTCCATAGCCGTCCTAAGTCAACGGCTCAACAGACGAACTCCCAACTCCCCACCTCAGCCCCGGAAGCCAAGCCCCCGAAACCGCCGGGCCAATCGCCGTTGGGAACCCAACGCCAATCACACACGAACCCAACAGCACGAACCGTACCAATGGCCCCAACCCGCCTCAAGAGGGCAATGATCAGTTCAGCCCTTTTGCGGCCAATTTGTTGACGCGCTTTTGCGGTTTCTTTCCGCCCCTGGGGCAGATGCCTGGAACCTCAAGCCGATGTTACTTGCGGCTTTCAGCCTCGAAGCTTTTGCAAGGTGCTGTCTGACTCGTCTGACCCGTCTGACAGTTTGTACGGTTCCAGTTTGCAGGAAGCTGATTTTCAGCCGGAAACACACGTCCAGCATGCGCATTTGACAGTTAACGGAAGGATGGAGCGTTGTAGTGACGTTGAGTGCAAAGCAGAGAGAAGCGATGAAGAGATGGTGCGAACGTAAGGATATTGCGAGAGACTTCTGACACGCAAGCCATAGCACTCGTGCTTAGTTTGCTGTTGCAAACAAGCAAGAACAGTGACATTTCCAAGATTCCAAGGTGAGTCTCAATGAGGAAGATCCTCCAAGTGAATGGAAGAAGCTACGAGTGGAGAATCTCAAAGCAGATTCCGACACTTCAAATGCCTCACTGGCTTTGGCAGGTGCAAGAGAATGTGGGAAGCCTGGAATGCACTTGGCAGACTTTCGACTCCTCTTTTTCTTTCCATTCTGAAGATTCTGTCGTGGAGCAAACACAGGAGAGCATGCTTGGAAGCCGTGGCCGAGATTTTCGACGACCTTCTCTTCATGATGCACCAGGAGGAGAGCGACGAGATGTGCCTGGCACTTCTACACGCGCAGCTGGCCTCCACCATGTGGGAAGCCTTGGTCTGCTGTGCTGCCGGGGAACCCAGGTCGAAAGTCGAAAGTCGAAAGTCGAAAGATTTCTCGAAAGATTTGTCGACGCCCTCAGAGCCTCAGGGTCCGGCATCCTTGCCAGCGTCTGCAGTGCTGCCGGCTCAGCTGCTTCGAGCTTTGAGAGCTTTAGCCGCACCCCGTGATGCAGAACTCAACGGGGTTCAAATTGGTCGTCTGTGGCCACATAGGTGAAGTGAAGGTTTTTGCTGTGTTGAGGTGTTCGATGCTGAACATCCTTCCTCCATCCATGATACAGATCAGGAGTTGTTGTTCGAAGAAAGCAAAGAGGGGGATACTTTTTTTTTTGAGAGAGACTTTGAGAGGTGAACACCGAGCGCTAGGCTCGACCTCTCGGGCGACATCATGATCTCTTCCCTTTTCGCCCGGCACGTCTTCTCAGCCGCTTGGCCGTGGCTTGGCTGTGGCTTGGCCTTGGCTTTGGCTCGCGCCCTTGCGAGCCGCTCAGGTCCACCTCACTGCGCACGCTGCGCAGGCTGCGCACGCCGCCCCGCCGCTCGACAGTTTGGGCCAAACCAAGCAAAGTCTGTTTGGGAAGCCAACCTCGTCTCGCTTCGGACCGCTCTCAGGCAAGATCAGGCGGCCACGGTGAGGCGGTTACTGACTTTGCAGGCGCATTGGATGGAAGCAACCGAACGACATCGGATCGGACGGATGGCATTTGCAAGGAGAGCTTTGCAGAAGCTTACTGCCGGCTCTATCAGCCTTCGCCTCGCCTCATGCAGTGCAGCTTTTGCCCTGACGGCCTGAGGCCTGACGCGCACTGGGGACCCAGAGAGACAGACGAGAGCATCCACGACTTGCAGGCATGGAGTGGGCAAACCATTTGCCCAAAGAGTCAAAAAATCCAATTTGACAGCTTTCGCCAGGAGAGCCTGGATGCTCACATCTTGCGGGTGGCAAGTGCAGCAGTTCAGTGAGCTCAGAGCACAGGATCCGCCCACGGGCAAGCCAAGCGGATCCGAGGATGGGGGTGCTTCCGCAACTCATCGACTGCTGCGACTTCCACCTCGCCTGGGGCTCGTCGCATTTCGCTGTCGCCATGTCGCGCATGTCGCGCACGCGAGGCAATCTCGCCTCAGCCGAGCGCCACGCTTCCAGTTCTGCTGTCTCGTCTGGCCTGGGGCCGGGCTTTCCAGTGCGGTACACGCATGCGGTGCGCATGCGGCCCGGTGTTGGTCTGAGGTCTGCATTTTTGCGAGCCGCGATGCGATGCTCCAGCGCCACATCATCCTGCTGACCCCGGCCCGGCGCCCCGGCGCCCCGGCGCCCCGGCATGGGGCATGGGGCACGTGGGGCCGCGCAGGCCATCCTGGCTGTGGCGGAGTCCTTTGTGGAGGCGCAAGGGAGCCGAGACGTCCGGAACGTGCGACGTGCGACGTGCGGCCGAGGCCGGAGAGGCCGGGGCCCGGCATGGCCTGTCGCAGGTGTGGGCGCCTCGGGAGAGCCGAGACTCCGAGAGCTCAAAAGCCGAGAGAGCCGAGAGACTTGCAGAGGCTAGATGGCGTCATTGCAGTGAGCCAGCTCAGCGAGTGCAGCGGGCTGGCTGCCCAGAGTCTCCCATCGATTTCGAACGTGCACATTGGCGTTCACATGAAGCGTGCATTGTGTCAAGTGTTTCTCATTCTCGTTCCCCAGTGAGTGCATGAGGTCAGTGGAGGCGGGCGGCTTTTGCTTGGGTAAAAAGTGAACGACTTCCATGAGTGGTTCAGACGGACAGGCGCTGACTGCCCGTTCGCTTCAGAGCGAAGTGCGACATGACCCCGCAGTGCCGCATGGCCGAGAACAGCTCACTTTCCGATCCCACGCGTTGAGTGAGCTCCAGGCTGTCTCGCCTTGCTCTAGCCCATCCGGACAAGCCCTGAGGGTTGCGAGTTCGGCCACGTATGTCCCATGACCGTGTTCAGTATGTTCAGTTCGGCAAGCCGAGGGCAGCCCGTGGGTGCACACCTTTGCAAGCTTCTCTGGGAAGGACAAGGCGGCCGGATGCCAAATGCCGCTAGAGCCCAACGGCTTCTTCCGCTTTGCAGGCGGTGTTCTGGCAGCATGCACAAGCGCTTGTGCCCTGGAAATGGGGCGTGTGCCTTTGATCTCGATGTGGCCCAGGCGAAGCTGCTTGCTGCGCCACGGCGAGGAGGTGCTGAGCCTCCTGCAGGACCTCTGCCACGCCTTGCCACGCCTTGCCACGCCCTGCGCCACTGGGAAGCAAGGAGCTGTGTGGAGAGACTCCCGAGCCGTCGTCACCCATAGATGTGCCGCACGCTCAGTGCCATGCCGTGTGCGACTCAGCTTCAGCTTCGCCAGGTCTGACGCTTTGCCGCCAAATCAGCACAGCCGTTGCCTCGCTTCGCATGGCCTCGGCTTCGTCGCCTCTTTCAGCTCTTCCGGCTAGAGGTTTTGACGATGGGCAGATTGTGGAGGTGATCGCCAGCGTTGAGGCATGCGGCACTCGACGTGTCGCACGCATCCGCGTTGTCACTGTCCGGATTGTTACGGATTGTTACGGATCGTTGTTCCGCGCAGGAGGCTTGCCTGGCGCGGGGCGAGGCGCCTGAGGCGCCGGCGCCGCCGAGCCTCAGCGCGCTGGACCTGCCACGACCCCGGGAGACAGGCGTTACGCCGGGCTCGCATCTGTTCGCTTCGGAGGCCTCGCAAGAAGGATCGGATCGCGAAGGCATGCCTCGGGATGGGATTCCTGTCACTTGGGTCACTTGCCCAGCGCCTGGGCCGCAGCGACCTCGCGCGGCTGCGCGGCGTGGCTCGGTCCTCAGCGACGGCCCGATGGGCGGAACTGCAGGTTGCGCAGAGCAACCTATGAGCACATTTGCTCAGTGCTCCCCGGTTGAATGTGCAGCGGGAACCGATCTTTGAACCGGTTCTTCAGAATCTCCGGTGTTGGGCTAGCCGTGCTAGCCATGCTAGCCATGCTAGCCATGCTGGCCATGATGGCCATGCTAGCCACGATCCGTGCCTGAGGACCTTGCCGCAGCACCTGAGGAGAGTTTTCTGCGTCGTATGTATGGATATGAATCGCACTAGGACTTGCGCTGCGCCATCGACGGGAAGGTTTTGGGCGCTCGAAGCCCACGAGTGTCGACCGGGTGTCGACCGGGTATCGACCGGGTGTCGACCAGATCGACCGGACGGAGTTCCTGGCCCGGAGCTCCAGATGTCGTCGCTTCGGTTCTGAGGCCCCGGTTCAGTCGCCCTACGGCCACATCTTCGAGCAAGACACGCCCGGGCCAAAGCTTTCAAAAGAGTCGATTTTAAGCGTGTGAGCTGGCACTTGGAAGGTTGCGGCAATGGCTCGCGACCTGTGGCAGTGTGTGCCCCATCACCGGACAGCCGTTGCGAGAAGAGGACCTCAAAGGGCTAGCAAGCCATGCAAGCTGTGTATGCATCAACCTGACCACGCAGGGACAAGCGCATCAGGCGTGCAACCTTTTTGGGGGAAAAAAGAACAACCGAGCGACCGGTGTCCTTTGCAGTGCTCGTGCTTTGTAGGACTGTATGGCAGACACAGCGACGCAGCAGAAGGCTTGGCTTTCCCAAGCCAGTTGAGCAGAAGGCTCGTTCCAAGTTCTGCAGGTTTTAGAATGGGTGAAGGCAACCCGAGCATCGCACAAGGAGAGATGGAGCCAATGGGAGCCATGCCAAGTGCCAAGCCAAGTGCCACGCAGAACACTTTGCCAGGAGCGCCGAAGGCCGCAGCCACCTTACGAGCCATGACCGAATTGGAATTGATCGAATTCAGCGCAAAGTGCGAAAGGCTGGTACAGCATGCCGTGCATGAACGCTCTCTTGTCGCAGTGTCAGGTCTTACACGGGTTGCCAAAGCAGAGCAGACTGAGCAAAGTCAGCCGTACAGCTTACCAAAAGCACTCTGGAGGCATTTCAAGCCAACAGACATGCAGCACATCATTGT